GGGGGGAATGGTGGGAGGGGCTGGGTCCCCTTGTGATCAATTGGTCGTGCTCCTTCCCCCCCCTCCCGATCGACCAGTCAATCGTGATCGATGGGTCGGTGACGACGTATTTAGAACATTTCACTCTGTATCAGTGTTGAACTTCTCTTGGCATTAAGAGCATAGCTCTCTGTTAGAAGACCTATATTGATAATGAGGGTTATAGATGATCATTTTGGTTCTTCAAAAAATACATGATAAATTAATATTTCTGCAAAAATTATGTTAATGTTGGCTATGTTTCATAGTATAAATGTCAAATTTCAGTTAATTAGCTAATCGAATAGTTGATGCAATTTGCAATTCTGCCTTTGAAGTGTTGTTACTGCACTTCAGAGGAGAAAGCACTGCAGGGAGCGCAGGGCAAGTGGGGAACTCAAGCAGTCTCCCACTGGCCCCGTGTTCCCACAGCAATTTCGAAGCAGCAGCATCGCATGGTGAGTCCCCAGCTGACCCTGGGCTCCCCACAGCCAACATACAGCCCGGGCCAGCTGGGAGGCTGCTCACGGCGTTTCAAAGCGGCAACGCTGCATGGAGCCCAGGGTGTGGCTCCGGGCACCATGCAGCACTGCTGCCTTGAAGCACCCTGTCCTCTTCGCCCTTCCCCATGCCTGCTGCCCCTTTCTGATAGAGGCAGCAAGTGTGGGGGAAGGACCTATTGACTATCGGATAAGCATTTGTTTATACGATAGTCGACTAGTCATTCCCATCCATATTTCATAGGTAGATTACATATATCAGTTGTGGGCAATCCTGTGGTTCACCAGCTGCATGCGACCCACTGAGGTTCTATATGTGGCCTTCAAGACATTTTGTTTACAATTGCCCATTTTCAGGGATTCCACATTCTGCTGGTTTTTGTCCATGTAGGTATTTCTTATGGGCATTACTAAAATGACATGCACATAAAGCAAGAGCATGTAAAGTGGAGGTACATGCTAATTAGCAGGACTCACCAAACAGCGGCGAGCCCTGCTCACCAGCCGCATGGTTCAACACACTGTGCATGCGCTGATCGCGCTGCGGCTCCATGCCATGGCTATAATCTACTCGCCTATGGCAAGTAGATTACCTAAATTGTCGAGCCCTGCTAATTAGGGATATTAAGTAACATTTAATAAGCTAATCAAGTATACTCGATTGTTTTATAAAGGCATGAGCTGGGACTGAGCATATTTTGGTGAATGGAAAATATTTTATTTGCATATTCATTATTTGCATAATGAATATGCAAATGAAATATTACCCCTCTGAGAAAAGTTTGAGTGGGTTTGCCAGTTCCTGGTATAAAAACGTTTGGGAACAACTGACTTAGAATACAGGGTGAAATCATCTCATGTATTTCACACTCAGGATTTTGATTACTGTATGTCGCAATCTGTTGCACATCCCATTTCTATTCATTACTGAGATGTTCAATTTATTGTTCTATACCAAAGTCTAGTTCTTCTACATTTGGAAGAAAACCTTTTAGGAGTTAGTTAATTGACTAAAATCTCATTTGTGTAACACTTCAAAGAGTAATGTGGCCCAGTTTTTTGAAAGTATGATGTGACTGTCCCAGCTGTTTGATGAGGCATACTACTTCATACATGTTGGAATATCGTGTTTCAGATATAAAAACACTTTGTATTGCATATATACATTAGGGCTGTGTCTACATTGGCAAGATTTTGCACAAAAGCAGCCGCTTTTGCGCAAAATCTTGCCACCTGTCTACACTGGCTGCGAGTATTTGCGCAAGTACACTGACGTTGTAATGTACAAAATCAGTGCTGCTTGTGCAAATATTCTGATGCTCCCGCTCAGGGATAAGTCCTCTTGCGCAAGAGGCCAATGTAACATCAATTTCTTGAGCAAGAAAGCCCGATGGCTAAAATGGCCATCGGAGCTTTCTTGTGCAAGGGAGCATCTACACTGGCATGGATGCTTTTGCGCAAAAGCAGATCTTTTGCGCAAAGGCACATGCCAGTATAGACGCTCTCTTGCGCAAATACTTTTAACGGAAAAACTCTTCCGTTAAAAGTATTTGTTCAAAATCATGCCGGTGTAGATGTAGCCAAATGCACGCCTTTTCGGAAACACTTTTTTCCTAGGAAATGTTGTGTAACAATTCAGAAGTTAGTATGTGTTTGGCTGTAAGCAGTTTTTGAACAGAAAGCGGCTTACCTTTGAAAGAAAATTGCACATGATTATTCTGAAAACTCACAGTGAGAAATACTTCTTGGAAACATGATGAATAAAAAGATAAATAAAATTAGCATTCCTAATTTAGTTGCTAGCACCTCACTGCTTCATACAAATCTATCAAGAGTAGGAATGCAATGAAACCACTAATCTTCAACTCCCTTCCTTGTAATTCCTGAAAAGAGTGTGTATATCTCACTACATGTAGGTGTTCGACTACTGTCTCTCTTCAGTCTGTGAGATATCTGTACCCAAAGTAGTAATAGAGTTCTTAAATAAAAGTAATGAATGTTTTTAACTAAAATGCTTTTAAATACTAATATAGATGGAGTTTAACACCATTAAAAATGTGTGGGCCAGTCTTATCATGTGACTGCCTCATATTTATTTTATTCCAAAGAATAGCAGCAAAATACTTGCAGAGAAGTAATATGCTTTTTCTTGTCTGTTGTTCCTATTTCTCCTTAGTAATCTAGAAGATCATCTGACTCTCAAAATATAGCTTTTCTGATGCATGTTATATGTATCAGGCTTTCTTCTCAGGCAGTTCAAATTTAAAGTTTAGCAGTGTATAGACAAGTGAAAAGATTTCCCTCCCTCCCCCAGTCTAATTGGACAATAATCGTATTTACAGAAGTGCAGGTGTAACCCACACACCTGCTGGGTGTGGTGTACTGTCACCTGATCACTTACAAAGTGATAGGAATGTTTCCAGCCTTAGCTGAGAGCCAGCCAATGGCAGTGGAAATTATCTACCCATGAGCCATTCACTTTCATATGCATCTGTGTTATGTTATATGCTTTTATGTCTTGGGATACTGTCTTCTAATGTCCACCTTCTGTTTCACTTGTTATGATGTATGCTTCTTTCCGTTGGCATCTCTACAACTGTATTTTTACTTCTCAGAAGAATTCTTTAGTTTTCATTTAACCATGTAAATTTTGTGGCCTTGCATCTTATTTTGATTAGGATATGAATATGATAGGCCTACAGATGTTATTTCTTTGTCTTGCAGTGTGTAAACCAGACCTGAAAAGTTTGGGATGTCTTGTTTCTCTTTCTCTCTTTGCTTGTGAGCTTTCTTGGCTCTCATTTGAAAGGACAAGACTGTTTGACTCTTTTTTTTTTTTTTTTTTTTTTAAGAGATAGCATTTTTCTTTTATTATTTGTCAGATGTTTAATTTAAACAGCCAATACAAACAAAACACAAAATGTTTTTACTTTGTTTTTTGAATCTAGAATTCTCTTGAATTCTGAGTTGCTCAGGTTTCCTACCTTTATCGAGTACAGTGTCATCATTCAGTCTTGCAGCAAAAGAGGAGGGGGAGAAGGGACAAGATCTGGATCAATTTAATTTAAAAAAATCTTTATAAAATGTTTTAATAGCATCAAATTGTAAATACAAATCTTCCCTTCTTCTATACCATTCCTTGGCAGGTTACCTTTAACTTGCCTATATGGTGATTCTAAGAAATTTAACTTTTCATCTTTGAGATTAAGGTTCTAATTAGCTTGAATTAAAAAAAAATACTTTTCTTAAACCCTGCTGCAACTTCCCTGCTCATCAGCTAATCAACTAGTCGATGGAAATTCTATTGACTAGTCAATTAGTTGATTACACTAAATGTAACATCCCTAATTTATAGTAAGGTCATTTTTTTTCCCCCCAGCAGGCTTCCTTGAAACTGTAAGGAATGGATGAAGACGCAGACCAAATGCATCCTTTGAATGATAGGCAGGTGCCGAACTCTGAAGGTGGATATGTATGGCATGTCACGGATATGAATAGACTCCACCGTTTCTTATGTTTTGGTTCAGAAGGTGGTACATACTACATCAAGGAGCAGAAATTGGGCTTTCAGAATGCTGAAACTTTAATAAGACTGATTGAAGATGGCAAAGGCTGTGATGTGGTACAGGAAATAAAGACGTTCAGTCAAGAAGGCCGGGCAGCAAAACAGGAGCCCATGCTTTTTGCTCTTGCAATTTGTTCACAGTGCTCTGATACAAAAACCAAACAAGCTGCATTTAAGGCTGTTTCTGAAGTCTGCCGCATACCAACTCATCTGTTTACTTTCATCCAATTTAAAAAGGATCTGAAGGAGGGTATGAAATGTGGCATGTGGGGCCGTGCCCTGAGAAAAGCTGTTGCAGACTGGTACAATGGAAAGAATGGCATGGTTGTTGCTTTAGCAATTACAAAATACAAACAAAGAAATGGTTGGTCTCATAAAGATCTGCTGAGGTTGTCACACCTAAAACCTACCAGTGAAGGTAACAGTAATGGTTTTTGTTGACCGCAGGACTAGACTAATTAAGAAAATATGCTACGTCAAGATACTACATTAAGCCTTTCACTTTTAGCATAGGTTTGTCCTGGTCTAAAGATCTGTCAGCAGCCATGTATCCTTCAGGTTAAACTTTAGAAATAATACAGAAGCTTATCGTAGCTAGAAAATATGGTCTCTTTATTTTGACTGATTAAGGATAAATATGATCTTTATTTTTTATGACTGCTGTCAAGATGGCTCAATCATTCTTACAAATAATTTAGTTTTTATATTTTAAAATGCATATTATTTCTAAATGTTTTAATGTTTTGTAGTGTGTTGGGGTAACTGAAATATTTATGCCTAGCCGATTGACTCTTATCATTCATTCTATAGTCTAACTTGCTTTTTCCTCTTATTTTCCACAACACCGTACTTGCTGTGGTGTTTAAGTTTCAACATTTAAAAGGGAGATGATATGGTGAAAAAAATGCATCCTGAAAAGTATTCTGACTTGTGCATTCTCATGTATTTGGCTATAGTGTTAGTGATTCTAAATTAGAACTACTCTGTTAATAGCTGACTAGCAGTTTTGGGAATGAAACCATAGTTAAAAGCATCTGTCTAATCAATTCTCCTTCCAGGCTTACTAAACTGTCTATGATACCTGGATCATAATCCTGAATGAAAAATATTTTTGTCTTCTAACAGGACTTGTTATAATCACTAAATACATTACCAAGGGGTGGAAGGAAGTCCAGGAGGCATATAAGGACAAGGAACTTTCTTCAGAGACTGAAAACTTGTTAAAATACCTGGAAGCTGTGGAGAAAGCAAAACACACGAAGGACGAATTGGAAGTTATTCATTTGATAAAAGAGTATAGGTTAGTTAGGGAGCATCTCCAGACAAACCATTTGAAATCTAAAGAGGTGGGCATGTACATGTAAATATTAATATATTGCATCAGATGAACCGGTGTCCTTTTAACATATGTTGTTTTGTATATCTTAACAAGTTTGGATTGCTGAAATTTATATTTCTCTTTGCATAAAAATATATTAAGTAATTAATACAACATGATGAAGTTCTCTGTATAATGTTGACATTTAAAATTCATTGTTTATATATTTTGCTTGATATCTTGTGTATATACCAGACAGAGTCTCTTGGCAAATTAAAATGACCTTTTTGTCTTTTCCCCCCTTATAATATATGGAAACAGGTGTGGAAGGCATTGTTGCAGGAGATGCCTATAACAGCAATGTTGAGGAATCTAGGCAAGATGACTGCAAATTCAGTTCTTGAACCAGCAAGCTCAGAAGTAGCATTAGTGTGTGAGAGACTGAGAAATGAGAAATTGTTAAAAAAGGTAAAACTGTTTTCACTTCTTAGGGCTTTTACTTCTGATATGAGTCTGTTCCTAAGTTGCATTTCTTAGAAATTTGAGAAGTGTATGTATTGATGAGACATGTTTTAGGTGTGCTTTGAGATAGCTAAAGCCAGTTACATATAATGGCATAGCTAGTTGAAGTCAAAACCTTTTTGTGAGAGTTCTTTTCTCACTACTCTGCATTTAACTTTGTTTTGTTTATGAATCCTAATTCAGGAAAGCACTTAAGCATAGACTTAACTTTTAAGTATTTGACTAAATGTTTTCCTGAGTTGGAGCAATGGTGAATTTCATTTGCAGGTCTCATGCGTTAATGTGATAATTTAAGCATTCTCATGCACTGCTTTAGAAATCATTACAATCTTGTCGACTACATGCATTCCCCTTCCCTTTTTCTGCTTCTGGCTCATAGGCAGCAAGGGGAGGCAGGAGGTAGAAGCGGTGCCTGTGAGGAGCACCAGATTCTATGGAGCTGGTTCCTGTTTTTCCCCTCCCTCCTGCACTGCTGCCTCTGGTAGAGAAGCATCAGTGTGGAGGGGGAGCGGAAGCACACAGGAACTAGTGTTTAAGTTACCTCAGGCCTGTGGCCACCCTGTGAAACTGGTTTAACCAAGAATGGCTCATATTTTCTGAGCACTGAAAACAATTCCAGATGATTTTAAAAACAAGTGTCTCGGGAGACCAAAGCAGAGAAGCAGGCTGAAACTAGCCTCAGACACAGGAACCTCCCGGAGTGTCTGAAGAAGTTAGGCTTGCATAGGTCACCATTGTGGAATGGTGAGAACTTAGTTAAGATATACATGCATGTAGACTATTTAGTTTTTTAAATCTTTTTTTCTTCAAAGCTTTGTTCTTACTACTAAATTTTTAAAAACACTACTTTTGTTTTTAAGAAGGTTGTTGGTCATTGCAAATCACTGGTTTTTGAAAGGTAATTGTAACTAGGAATGTTAACTACTGTTTATTTGTGTGAACGTGTAACCACTGAAAATCTTAGCAGTTACACGCTTACGCACAGGGTGGGGGTGGAGAGACAGGTGGGAGTCAGTGTTGTGGGAGACCCAGGTTTTAAGCTGGCTCCCCACGAGCACCAGCTCCCGTCCCCTGATAAGAGGCAGCAGCACTGAAGGGAGGTAGCTCCATGGGAACTGATACGTGTGGGGAGCCAGTTTGAAAGCCGCTTTCTATGTATACTGACTCCATAGTTCCCTGTAAGATGTGCGCTTGTATGTGTAAAGAGAATTTCTATCCTGTGCATCTCCTAAGCAGAGCTGCTCACCAGTGTGGCAGGAGGCAGGTGGCTGTTCTAGCGGCCATGGCGAAAGAGCTGCGTGGCAGGCAAAAGACGGCTGCTTAAGTGGACAGGGCAAATGCTTAGGAGGTGCTTAGGAGCCACATGAGAGGGGGGCAGGTGGCTGCTCCGGCTTGCTGGCTGCGGCTGGAGGAGCTTCATGGTGGGAGACAGGCGAAGGCTGGGGCTGCATGGTTGGCAGGCAGCTGCTCCAGCTGGGACTAGGACTGTGGCTGTTAGGTGGGCAGGCACTGTTACTAAATGTTAGTCAAAATTATTTTTCCTCAGTTTAAAAAAAAATATACATAAGACTAATGCTGTCCATATTATTGCCAAATATAGTAATGTAGAAATACTACAGAGAACACTTTATGCAGTAGAAACTAGCTAATTAACATTAGTGATTGGGAGAGCCATAGTAAATTAGCAAACTTTACAAATAAGCAAATCAGCAGAAAAACACAAACTCAAAACTACTGCAGCAGAAAAAGTATTTTGGTGTTTTACATGCATAGTTGTTTGAATTATAAATAATGGACCATTGTGTATTTTATAAATAATAAAGAAGCCTTTACCTTATGGGCTTCCACTACAATATTTGACTGTTAAGTCTTCACAAAGTAGATAAAGTGAGATTGCAAGGTGTTAATGAGGATTTGGGTTTGAGATTAGCAAACTGACAATTATCAAGGTTTTACTATCAGGGGTAGCCGTGTTTGTCTGGATCTGCAAAAGTGACAAGGAGTCCTGTGGTACCTTATAGACTAACAGATGTATTGGAGCATAAGCTTTTGTGGGCAAAGACCCACTTCGTCAGATGCATGAGGAAGTGAGGAAAGGTTTTACTGTGAGTTTATAATAAGATGACATTTGATTTAAGGTTAGATAAAAATCCGTTATTTACAAAACAAATTGAATTTGTTGTTGTACTTTCTGCAGCAGCATCCCCTGGGGGTTCTTCAGGCCAGCATCCAATCAGAAATTACTGCTATTAGAAGTATTAGCTCATACATACCAATTTTGGCTGCTATTGTATGGCCACTAAGGGGTTAGAGGTAGAACATCTCAGTAGGACTGTACAAGTAGGTGGAACAGAGCCAGATCTCCAAGGTAACAGAGGGAGGTGTCCTGTGTATGTGCAAAGCTCTTGGCAAAGTGGCCACTGTGCACATAGCTCCAACTCGGGACTTAAATATTGAGTGTGGTTGATGGCCACATCACTTGTGCATTTCATCCTTAATGCATAGAACTGACTGGATAGGACCTTGAAGGCTTTTAGTTTTTTTTTGAAAAGATAGGCAACTTTCCAAGTGCATTTCATTCTTCACATCCTAAATGATATAGTGCCAACAGTCCTGTAGGACTGGAAGAGAGATCATCTACTCCAGCAGGTGGAGGATCTGGGAGAGGGCTATAAACAGAGGAAGTTGGCCATTTAAAATTTTACAGCATTAATTTTCTTTTTATTTGACTTCATATTAAATACACATTTAAAGTTACGCACCTTGTTAATTATCCCTTGTTTTAGTATTTTTTCTTCCATAATATTTTACAAAATACATATACAATATTTGTTAATAAGTTGAGTGTCACAGTGGCACATATCCGAACAAGTGAACATGACCTCAATATTGGTGCACAAGGCAAAGCTCACTCGCTCATGGACTCCTCCCTCCCTCCCTCTCTATCAGAGGCAGCAGCATGGGCTGGGGTGTGCAGGTAGCTCCATGGGAGCCAGTGCTCTTGGGAATCTGGCTCTTAAGCTGGATTCCCCCCGAGTACTGGGAGGCAGAGGGAGGGCAGGAGTCAATACATGCCGGGAGCCAGCTTGCATAGAGCTGCCTGCCCTCCCCCTCCCACTCTTTGGTATCTCCCATAGAGGCAGCAGCGTGGGGAGGGCCGGAGGGAGCCAACACACGTGGGGACCTGGTTTCTGTGGAACCGCCTCACCCACCCCCCTCACCTCCCAATAAATTCCTCGTGCATATT